CTGATTTAAAATAAAAAATACAAAAAGGGGTAAGGATATAGCTCAGCACAAAAAACCCCTAGGTTAAATCCCTAGTACCTCACAGTGATTTCAAGAGAAAAAAATGCACAATGAAAGCAAGATACAAAAGCTAAGATTTCTCTGCTGATACTATAGGAAAAGGAGGAAACAAACATACTACTTGAATTTTATATGATCTCATCTAATGTAAGACAGGTATTAGGGCCGGGGAGACAGCTCAGTAGAATAAGTGCTTGCCTGGCAAGCGCAAGGGCATGAGTTCAATCCCCAGTTCCAGAAAAAAAACAAAAAACAAAAAACGATAGGTATTACTGGACTCATTTCATAGCGAGGAAATTGGCCAAGCCAGAACTCCAAATACTGTCAACACCTGTTTCTCTCTATCACACTGTTTCATAGTAAAAATATTCTGTTGTATTATTGGTTCTAAGTCTTCAACACAGGACCTCATGCATGCTAAGCAAGGATGTAGTCACTGGGCTGCATCCCTAGTCCCTATTTTTAATTTTCTGTCAAAATGCTATATTGTTCTACAACGGCTTTATCATTTTACATTCCCATCAGCAATGCACAAGGATTCTCATTTCTCTACATTTTTGCCAACACTTTGCTATTTCGTTTGGTTTGTTTGTTTTGCAGTACTGGGGACTGAACCCAAGGCCACACTGAGCTATATCCCCAGGGCTTTTTATTCCTTTTGAGATAGGATCTCACTAAATCATTCTGTTGCCCAGGCTGGGCTCAAACTTGTGTTCTTTCTGTCACAACTTCTCAGAGTACTGAGATTACAGATGTTCCCATCATGCCAAGCTTCTGCTTTTAAACTTTGTATTTTCTCCAAAAGAGGAATTCTTTCTTCCTTCTTTGTGGTGCTGGTTCCCAAACCCTACCCTTTATGCTTGCATACCTATTTCCATAGCCCAGCCCCTATATATACTTGTAGTGTTTAATATATTTGAGAAGATATAATGCTACCATCAGCTTCCAAAATAGGATATGCTGGTGCCTGTGAGCCAGTCGACTGCACTGAGGATGTCGATGTGTAATAGAGGGGTCACACTTGGAGTGCCTGCCATCCTGGTCTTCTAAATATGTACTTCTTGTCATGACATACCATTTATTGCCATAATGTCTCTCAAGTAAAAGTTGTTTGTTTTTTTTTAAAGGGTAATAAATAAATTTTTAAAAAGACACAAGAATAAGAAAAAAAAAGTCACAGGGCTGTCCTGTTACAATTCTGTATACGGTTAGATTTCTAAATTTCTTTGTAAAAATATGTAAATGCTTATTTCTACTGGTTTTTTGTGCTTTTTTTTTTTTTTTGGTGGAACCAGGGATTGAACTCAGGCCCTTGCGCTTGCCAGGCAAGTGCTTATTCCACTGAGCCATCTTCCCGGCCCCCCTATTTCTACTGTTTTAAAAATATTTTTCCTTCATATTCTGTAAGGACTTAAAGTTCAACATATCAATATTTGATGGAAAATACCTGTTCCATGATATGCCAAAGATGTTTGATAGTTAGACAAATAGGGTAAACTGAACTGCATATATTGCAGGTTAATAATAAGCTTCTTTTAATTTTTAATTTATTTATTTATTTATGTGTGTGTGTGTGTGTGTGGCCAGCTCAGCCCACCTGGGGGCAGGGCTGGCTGGCATGTGGTGCTGGGGGATTGAACTGCGGTCCCTGTGCCTTGCTAAGCTTGTTCTAAGTAGGTGCTTTAAACCACTGAGCCATCTCACCAGCCCCAATAATAGCTTCTTTTCTGGAGGGTTAACAACCCAAGTTAGCAGATCAAAATTGGAGAAAAGGAAGGGCTGCAAGGTCAGCCAACATTTTGGCCCTAGCCTTTCAAAGTCAGTGAAGACACAGGACATAGGAGAACCTGTACTGCAACATCATGTAACTCAGTTGTGCTCCAAATTTTCTGATCAAGGAGATTATGGAGCCACAGAGGAATGTGGTCGATGATGTATAGTGTGCCTGGGGAGAGTCACATGGAGAGAAAACATTCAGGCCTTCACAGAGAGCAAATTGGTCAAGCAATGGCCGTGACTCATCCTCATGCCTGACACTGACAAAGGATCTACAAAGTGTGGTACAGGGCTGGTGAGATGGCTCAGTGGTCTAAAGCACCTACTTAGAACAAGCTTAGCAAAGCACAGGGACCGCGGTTCAATCCCCCAGCACCACATGCCAGCCAGCCCCGCCCCCTGGTGGGCTGAGCTGGCCACACACACGCGCACACACACACATAAATAAATAAATAAAATTAAAAAAAAAAACAAAGTGTGGTACAGGGCTACAGGATAAATCCTGAGGGTACTTATCAGATACAAAAGTTACATTTATTGTTATATAGGTCTTGCTTTATCTTGGTCTTAACCATCCAGCATAAAAGTATAAAAACGAGGTATATAAAGTAAAGCCATATTAATATGATGAGCTGTAAAGAGCTCAAGTCAATAACTTATTTTTTTTTTAAATTATATTTGTGTGTGTGTGTGTGTGTGTGTGTGGCCAGCTCAGCCCACCAGGGGGCGGGGCTGGCTGGCATGTAGTGCTGGGGGATTGAACCGCGGTCCCTGTGCTTTTAGTTTGTTCTAAGTAGTTGCTTTAGACCATTGAGCCATCTCACCAGCCCCCAAGTCAATAACTTCTGAGGATAACCCACTAATATAGACTGCTAGACAGTGTTGGATTGTTTAGCTGAATTCAAACACCTATAGTATTTAGAAGCCAATAGAATATCTACCTCTGACAGGACTAAAAAAAAAAAAAGGGATACAAAGGGAAGATCATTTTGTATTTATATATACAAAATAGGATAGATATACAGTTACTTTCGCTTAATTCAATGAGAAGAAAGAGGTGTACTAATAGTGTGTGGACATGATATCCTCTCTGCTTTTTGTACTATGGATAACCACTAAGAAGATAGCAATGTACAATGTATTGATTATCGAAATTGTCCTACTAATCAGCTTTGAAACTGTCTCATTCGTATTTATCAAATAAATAAATAAATGTACTACCATGCCCGGCTTAGATACTCAGGTTTTTAAAATTTCAAAATAAAAACATGGCATGGGCAAACTGGAAAGAGATTATGCTACATAAAAGAAACCGGGGGCTGGAGAGATGGCTCAGTGGTCTAAAGCACCTACTTAGAACAAGCTTAGGGGCTGGAGAGATGGCTCAGTGGTCTAAAGCACCTACTTGAAACAAGCTTGGCAAAGCACAGGGACCATGGTTCGATCCCCCAGCACCACATGCCAGCCAGCCCCGCCCCCTGGTGGGCTGAGCTGGCCACACACACACAATAAATAAATGTAATAAATAAAAATAAATAAATAATTTAAAAAAAGCAACTAATTAAAAAAAAAAAAACAAGCTTGGCAAAGCACAGGGACCGCGGTTCGATCCCCCAGCACCACATGCCAGCCAGCCCTGCCCCCTGGTGGGCTGAGCTGGCCACACACACACAATAAATAAATGTAATAAATAAAAATAAATAAATAATTTTAAAAAAAGCAACTAATTAAAAAAAAAAACAAGCTTAGCAGAGCACAGCGACCGCGGTTCAATCCCCCAGCACCACAAGCCAGTCAGCCCCGCCCCCTGGTGGGCTGAGCTGGCCACACACACACACACACAAATAAAATGAAATAAAATAAATTTAAAAAGGGCCGGGGAGATGGCTCAGTAGGATAAGCGCTTGACTGGCAAACGCAAGGATCTGAGTTCAATCCCCGGTTCCGCTAAATAAATAAATTAAAAAAAAAAAAAAGAAAGAAACCGGGCCGGCGAGATAGCTTAGTGGACTAAGCACCGGTTATCCGGGGCAACACATGCCGCGCCAGCAGCGCCCCCCCAACGCGGAGGTGTAGGGGGCACAAGGAGCCAGCGACCGAGGCCGGACGTGGTGGCGCACTCCTGTAATCCCAGTGCTGGGGAGGCTGACAACAGGAGGATCTCTACGTCCGAGCTGCTGCATAGTGAGGCCCTATATATATTAAAAAAAAAAAAAAAGGAACCCCTACCTGGAAAGCCTTAGAGAAAAATGTTATATACTTTCCTGTCCAGACCCAGTCTTCAGCCTCTTTACTGTATTCTACTATTGCCAGGGAAGAGGGAAGCCCCGCCTTCTCTACTTTTAGAGGGGCACAACTCACTCACTCTGGCCACTGAATAGAAAGAAGAAAGTTCTTTTCCGACAAGATCAGTAACACTGCACATCTTGCAAGGCCCACAGCACAGTGTAAGACAGGCGATTTAACCTAAAGTTAAGCAGTCGGAATTAGCATTAGCAGTTCAAATCCTAACTCCTGGTGTAAATTTGGGCGAGTTCCACAACCTCCCCATCTAGGAGAGTCCCTCTGAGGCCTAAGTGCGAGAATCTACGTAAAATGCTTGGCTCAGTGCCTGACACACCCTAAGAGACCAGCAAGTGGCCGCTACTATCATTTACCGCCGACGCTGTCGTTGGTCGGGAACACAGCTGCACACAGCGGTCTCCTGCGGGGAGCTACCCCATCACCTGCTCAGGCCCTCGGACTGAGCCACCAGGCGACTGCCTCCTCCCACAGCTTTCAGAACAGCTCCTTCCCAGTCCTGCCTACCGCTGGTGCGGGGACCAGGCCCTCTCTCCCGTACGCCTTCATTCTGCTCCGCCCGCCGGGCTTAGGCGCTCCAAATTACCATTTTCTTGCTCTCGGTGCCACGGTTCGCCTGCCTCGACATGGTGCCGACCTCCCTCTTCCGCCTTGCAGCAGGGCTCTAGGCGACCCTCCCAGACGCTGCTCAGCCCAGCCAAGGCCCCTCAGCCTCCGGGACTGGCTCAGCCTCACTGCGTCTGCGCGGGTGCCGCTGGGCACCATGGGACTCGTAGTCCGTCTGAGGAATAACTCCTCCCGACCAACTCAGGACTACAGATCCCGACCGCCCCGGCGGGAGCCCCGCCCCTGTGCGGCGGAACTACGAGTGCCCGAGTGCCGCGCGCTCCGGGCTTTCAGCTTCTGAGCCTCGGGTTGCATTCTGCCGCGGGGTGGCGTCCGTAGCTTGCTACAGTCCTGTATCATCCACCCAGTGTCCCCTCTTTTCCCTCCCCCACACTCGGCTCGAAGATGCACTGCAAATTCCTTTCTCGAGAGTTGGTCTTGGAAAGTCCCACTTTCAAACTAGCTGCTTCCGCTGTTGCTGCAATTCAGCCCCGAGAAGCTCCCAGGATGTTCCAGAACTAGCAATGGCTCTCACACAGATCTGATTTCTTATTTTTAGTTCTCTAGGGCTGGGAATTGAACCCGAGACCTAGCACATGCTAGTGCTCTACTGCTGAGCAACAGCACCAGCCCCTATTACAGAAAATTTTAATGAACACTTACTCTGTGTCAAGAATATCGCTAAATAAATGAAAAATGAATTTCACTAGTGACTTTCTCCTCAAAATACCATCTAGTTGGAGGTTTGTTTGTCTGCTTTGTTTTGTGTTTATGAGACAGGGTTTCCCTACGCAGTTCAGACTGGCCTTGAATTCACTTTGTAGCCCAGGCTGAATTCGAACTCACAGTCATCTTCCTGTGTCAGCCTCCCAAATGCTGGGATTACAAGCTATCCAGTCTTTTAGATAAAAGTCCAAGTCACTTTCTTCCCCCAGTTTCTCTAAAACAGCTGCACTGCCTAGTTCTCAGAAAACAAAACCACCTGCTGTGGTAGCAGCCAGTCCTGAGTTTTAATCCAGGCTTTGCTATCTGAGGCCAGTTGCTGGATCTCATTCAGTTGATGATACATGCTTGCAAAAAACATAAAAGACACACATGGTAAGGAGCCAGGGAGATGGCTCAGTAGAATAAGTACTTGCCTGGCAAGCACAAGGGCCTGAGTTCAATCCCCCGTTCCACAAAGAAAAAAAAAAGACACACATGGTAAATACATATTTTTCTTCCATCCACCTGCTAAAAACACAGCCCAACAATTATCGGGGAATATATTGGCTGAACCCTCACCAATTCCAAAGGGTAAGTACCACAGTCATGTATCACAGCTCTTTGTTTCTAGCTCCAGCCATCTCTCCTTAGTGGTCAAGTCTGAAGGGGCGAGCTGGGGAGGGTGGAGTCCTTGAGCATTTCAGCCTGATAGCCCGGACGCTGTAGCAGCTGTATTCTAGCCCCTAGCCTTCACCATGACAACCGGTCCGTGCAGAGGAGCCAGCTCAGGCTGGGAAAGGCTAGAGGGGTCCAGGAGTTCCCTTAGTCCCTTCCTGAAGGTGCAGGACCAATTGTTGTTATACCCTTCTCCCTGTAGCACATTCTAGAGCCTCCCTAGAGGCAGTGACCCCTGACTCACTACTGTGTCATACCCAGGGGAATGAGCCAAAGGCTAAGGACTTTGAGAAAGAATATGAGCGGCAGTTGAAGGGGGCAAAGAAAAGTAGGGGACAGCTAGCCCTGGGAGATCAGCATGGGAGATCCCACATTCCCAGGAGAGAGGACAGCTGAGGTGAAAGCTGCAGTTGGCCAGCCTGTCTGTCGGTCTGGGCTCCTCCCTGCCGGCTGCCTTGGCTGCCCACAGAAACCTGAGTCACAGTCACGGCCAGGCGCCCAACCCCACCCAGCCCGCTGTCAGGCTGGGCGGTTCCGGAGAAATTGGAGGTGGAGCCTCTCCCTCGTCTGTCTCACAGTATCCGAGATTCTTCCTCTTTGCCGGTGATTTGTCCCTTTGGCGTCGCTTTCGCTTTGGGACATGTCCTTGCAGTGTCATCAGTCCTGAATTAAGGATGAGAGTTGGATCCATTTGTTGATCTAAATAGAGCCTCCTCCTTACACTGAAATATTAAAAGAAAAAAATCAAGAAGAGAGAAAAAAGAGAATAGAAGTAAAAAATGGAATCAAAGTTCCTGTAAATGAGGGGAAGAGGGTTTGAAGGAAGGGGAGGGGAATGGGGGAAAACAGAAGCAAGCTATATCATGTGTAGGTACAAATTCCCTACAATGGAGGTGATCGTTACGTATATCTAAATTGTACCGATAAAAAAGCATAAGAGCTCTTTTAGGGGTGTAACTAAGTGGTAGAAATGCATGCTTTGCATGCACAAGGCCCTGAGTTCAATCTCCAGGAGGGAAAAAGGAAAAAATTCCTAATATAGCTAGTCCGAGGACTCTCAGTGCAGGCAACTCCTTATACAGCTAGTCCAAGGTTTCCCAGTGTAGTTTCCATCATTCTGAAATTCCAGCCTCTCTCCATCACTCCAGGGTCAAGGAAAATTAAGAAAACCAGGCACCCAGGGCTGAGGAGATGGCTCAGTGGAATAAGCACTTGCCTGGCAAGCATAGGAGCCTGAGTTCAATCCCCAGTTCCGCCAAAAATGAAAAAAAAAAAAAAAAAAAAAAGGAGGAAAGAAAATCAGGCATCCCTTATCTATGCTTGTTTTTTTTTTTTTTTTTTTATGTGTTTGGTACAAGGTCTCATACACAGCTCAGACTCATAGTGATCCTCCTGTTTTCAGCCTTCCAGTGCTGGGATTACAGGTGTGCACTACCATGCCAGGGCCTGGTGGCCAGCTCAGCGCACACAGAGGAGGGGGGGCAGCATGAGGCACCAGCATGAGACACCCTGGTCCCTGCTTTTGCCTAAGCAGGTGCTTAGTCTGCTGAGTTATCTCACTGGCCCTGTATGCTTGTTCTTTGGAGAAGGCTAACAAGCAGGATCAGCTCCCCATCAGGGGCTCTAACAAAGACCCCTAATGATTGAGCCTATTTAGTACAAAATCTGAATTCCTCCTTGTTCTGATACTTTCCCAGTACTTCCCCTCCCAAAGAGCTGGGGGAGAGAGACAGCTGCCTTTGACTATGTTGCTGGACCCAGACCCAGGCATTGGAGTCTGGAGGCTAAGGCTCTCCAGGACAGCCAGTCTGGATCAGAGACCCCTTCTTTTTCTTTTTGGCAGAACCAGGGATTGAACTCAGGCCCTTGAGCTTGCCAGGAAAGTGCTTATTCCACTGAGCTATCGCCCCAGCCCCAGAGACCCCCCTTCTTGATGCAGGGCCTTAGAGGTGGAGCAGGAGTGAGATTCTGCTGTCTATTCTTTCCACTGCCCTCTAAAGGCCCCTCCTACTTCCTATTTTGTGAGTAGGGAGGCAACAGCTAGGTCCTCTATCCGATTCGCAGCTCTGAGTCAGATTTTCCAGTGATTTCCTTCATCTCTTCATCAGGTTCATTCTGGGCTCTAGCCCACTAAACGTAGCAGCAGGTGGTAAGTGTTCTTGTTCCTGTCCTCCCTGTGGAGGACATTTTTCTGACCCCCACTCAGGAGTCTGCCCCTAACCCCAACCCAGCCTTGTGGTAAGAGGGCTCACTTGTGCCTGTTTCCATAGAGAAGAAAGGGCTGCCTTGGTCTGTAGAAGAGGTGACAAAAGTTCCCCATCCCTCCCTGGTGAGGGTAGAGTGTCACGTTGAGACTTTAGCTCTTGGTATTGCAAGAACCACACTTGCCCTTCTCTGGGATGTCTAACTTTTTTTTTTTTTTTTTTAGTTTTATATATGTGGTACAGGGTGTCACTGCACAACTCAGACTTGTAGTGATCCCCTTGTTTCAGCCTCCCCAGCACTGGGATTACAGGTGTGCACCACCACTCGTGGTCTCAGTGCTGGGACAGGGCCAGCACAGCATATGGTACCAGGAATCAAACCCAGGTGCTCGTGCTTGCCAGGCAGGCACTTAGTCTGCTGAGCTATCTCCGAAGCCCCTGAGATGTCTAACTTGATTTGAAACAAAAAAACAAGTGTTGCTAAAGTGTGTAGGCTGGGCTCCAATTTGTGATCTTCCCGTCTCAGCCTATCAGAATATGGGCATGTGCCACCACTCCTGGCTGGGGTGTCTAACATATATGGAATCATGTAGAGTCACCAGGCACTAGCACCTGACCCCAAACTCAGACAGACACCGTTATCAACTCCCACTTAGTTTCGGGGCCTGGGACCTACCAGGAATCCTGGTGAGTTAGGGGAGAGGGAAAGGCGCCTTCTCTATCTGTCCACTTTGACTGCATCTCCTGGAGCACTCCTCTCTCTTGACTTCCCCCAAGCCATCTTCCCAGGTTTTCTGTGGCCCATGGGCTGTGCAAGAAGCCTTCTGGGGACACCTGTCACTCAAGTTGCCTCACTTTCCATTTGCCCTGCTGGTCTCTAGCAACAGCATCTTGGGGACCTTCAGGAATCTCAGGTGGGAGGGAAGGGTTCCAGTGCTGGCATTACTGAGCATTTGTCCCTGATAATTGCTGTGAGGGAGTGTTGGGGGGAGAGGCTGTGTACTGTGGGGTGTTAAGCAGCATTCCTGGCATTTACTCATTAGATTTTAGTGGCACCCCCAGATGTAGCTACCAAAACCTTTTTTTTTTTAAATTTCAGGGATTGAACTCAGGACCTTGTGCTTGCCAGGCAAGCACTTATTCCACTGAGCTATCACCCTAGCCCCTAAAACATCTTTAAGTATTGCCAATGTTCTTCTGTCCAGAGGAAACATGGAATTACCTTGAGTAGAGAACTACTGATGAAGAAGACAACCTTTCATGCTGCCTCTTTTCAGTGAACATCCCAAGTCAATTCAGATAATTAGCTATTATTTCCCCCTTTGTTATTTTTTTTTTTCTTTTTCCTTTTTTCTTTCTTGAGGAACCGGGGATTGAACTCAGGCCAGGGAAGCACTTATTCTACTGAGCCATCTCCCAGGTCCCCCCCGCCCCCTTTGTTATTTTTTAGCTCTAGCCAATGGGAGGTGTTTCACCTTTCCCACCTATCCATCTTTGTCCTTGCAGTAACCTAAAAACAGGGCTCTCCCTTCTCAATCTCTCTCTTTCCTCCCTATTATTATATTATA